ATCGCTTACAAAATTAAGCGATTCGTTAACCCTTTGTGCTGGTCGAATGATCGATATCGATAGAACCGAAGACCACTGCTACACGTTTGCTCAGATTTTACGTCTTTTGTACCACAGTGGTTATTACTAATGTGCCACTGATTTGTTTGTTGTACGGAACACTGCGCAGCGCTGATGTATTTTTATTTTTTGTTTTGCTTGCACTGTGGCTTCTTTACTATTTTGTGGTAACATCACTTTTGACGTTAATAGCAACGTCAATACCGAAGCGATAAATTTCATTGATTGATTTATCGCACAAATATCGTACCGTAATGCCTGTGCTTAATGAATGTACTTAGCAAATCGAATGAACGACTGATCGTCAACATAAACAAGCGTTAGCAGTTTTTGTCAATTTAATGTTATTCGTGCACGACAGTTATAATGATTTCTTGTCGAAGGAATGTCATTGAGTAGGCTGCCTTCTCGACCACCTCCGCTTTTAACGTGTATATTTTAGGCATGGAAGCAGTTTCCAGCATTTGACGTCACACAGAACAGTAAGCGTTTGTTTTTGTAATTCTTCCGTTTATAGTAAATAAAATCAATTGGACTTCCGTATGCTGCTCATCGCAGGAAACGGTGTTTCCCAAAACTGAATAGTAGAATAACATTGCCTCTTTCTTAACGATCGATTGTAGTAAGGACCGTAGATTTCAGATTAACAATATTAATATATCATAAATGAACCCTGTATTATCGGTTTACTAGCATACTGCTGTTTTCGATACCTCCGTTAAGAATGACATATTTCTGTCAATTCTCTTGATTTACATGGCATTGTGTCATTGTTCCCTTTCTCCGTTGCCTCTAGTAGCGTAGAGGACCGTGTAAGCAGTCCATGGCTCTACAGTATTTGACACCTGCAGTGCATTGATGCAAAACTTCAACATCATCCGTAGCATTTAATTTAATTGAATTTACGTTTACGCCTTCTGCACATGTTTAGTCAGCTCTCAGATGAGTCAAGGCGAATTGCAGCCATGAGACCGACATACCAGAGAGCATGGCCCTCTGTCTCGCACGCTATAATATGATCACTCCAAAGCACCATGCTGTCCGTTTGATTCGCAGGTCAGCGATCTACTACCAGTTTTTCGGTTGGTTGCACCGCAGTACTATGGGGTGAGTTTTTTTTGTTCAAAGCAGTTAGCAGTTAATATGAGAAGCTTCACGCCGGGCGTTAGGTTTCAACCGGCACTAACGTGTAAAGCAACCTAGCAACCCTTTAACCCATCGCATCACCGTCTTATTAAATGATTGGTAACGAACGAAGACTCAGATTTGTAGCGACGGAGGTTTTGTTAGGAACGTCATTGGTTAATCATCGTTAGGTTCCTTTCTAATAAGCATTCTCTGTCTTACGCACATATAAAAATACATAAGCCTTTCTACAATCCGAAAGTGCAGTTTCTTTTGTAGTAGAAAAACCGTTCTGCTTTCTATATATAAAAAGTTTTAGGTAAACTTTTCTAAGAAAGGAATATCGTAGTACATAAGCTGTAATTCTTTCAGTGCTCTGTCTATTTATGGTCTGATAATAGACGGATGGTTTTTGTCTGAAATATCGGTTCGGAATACACCCTTTTTAATTAATCTTCTTTGTGCTTATAACCTTTGTACTGGAAAGCCTGATTGCTTACCTTCTTATTTCATGCAGTGCCATTTACTAAATCAGTTGGAATTACGTAAGACAGATTTTGTAAATAATTTTCAAAAATTTTTTGATTCTTGGCCCGTAATTAATCACAGACTAATTTTTTATACGTTCTGTGGATACCAATACCGGTAAACAAGTCAGAGAAGTTTTAATTAAGCGCGTTAGTACGTATCGTTTTTACCACTGTAGCACCACCCGGACTCAGTGAACCACTGTCATATCAGTGTTTTGGCAAAATAGCACAAGATACATTTCGTAACACGAGAAATTTCGCCTTGTGATTTACCGTGAAGTGATCTGCAGTTGAACATTGCCAGCGTTTGTAAACCGTAAGTGCTCTGATCAGTTGTCAGGTTGTTCTTAGCGTCCTTAGTCTTCATACTTAAACAGTTGCTGCTTTCGATGGCGGCAGTGCAGCTTCCGGGAATGAGGTCCGTGAGTTTAGTTGTGATTTCATGTTGGAAGATTTGGCCTATTTTACCACTGGTCGGGCTGGTTAGTAAGTGTTCCGTCGTACACTTGTTCGGGTATATTTCTCAAGTTCTTTCAGCATGGCTGAATTTGCCGAAGCCTAGAGGCTTAACAGTGTACGTCGTCTCGAAAAGCTGTTATCGTCACCTTGCCACATTCAGGTAGTGTAAGTATGACTTGGGAAAGATATACATATATTTTATGTAGTTTGTTCTGAGTTTCACCCTATATCGTTTGGCAAATTTGGGTATGAGCACATTCAGCCGTCATGATGCTTCAGTAATTTGCAGATCGTTGACGGTATCTTTTTTGGCATGATTGCACCGCAGCTCTATAAGACGAAATGAATTCTGGGCTCTAGGTATATGCACTTAATAAAAAAACTACTAATGAAAATTTTGCCTTTGAAGTGTGATACAGGAGGCAGACGATTTTCACCTCATTTTTCACCAGTAGGTGAATGTTCGTAAATGATCAAGTTTTTTTCATTGGATTATCTGAAGACAAAGGCCTGATGATTTGACTTCTGTCCTACTGAGGTATTTTTTTGATCGTTTGAGAGTAGTAAAAGTATGGGTGCAGCGACAGTTTTGCTAGTCATTACACCTAATTACGTAATTATAAGAAATAAATTCTGAACGAAAAGTTTGGCCGTTTATAATTCTCTGTAGTTACCATCATATTCTGCTCTACGAATTGGGTAATCAACTGCTGTTGTATTTACTCCTTAATGATACAGTGACACAATAAGTAGCTGATTTGTCTACGATTTTAGAACGAGCTTGGCACCAACGACAAGGTGGTCCTCTTTAACCAAACGCTGTTCCCATGGGACAAGAACAAAAGTAACGAAATGTTCGATTCAAATTACTATAGTCTCATCGAAAGTATCAACAGGTATGACTGATTGTTTTTATTCCTCTTCGAACTCTCTAACGTACGCTGCCTGTACGTTCTTGTCTTCTGTGCTGTTAAGAAAATTAC